AAATTCTCTGACTAAGTATTTTTGTTGATGCTTTAATTCTCAGTTATGTATCTTTTGTATTGACTGAGAAAAAATAAAGGCAAAAACCTTAATGTTTATGCTTATAAACATTAAGGAATGGAGTGCTAATAACAGCAAACATTACAATAGTTTTGGATCTTGCCCAAGGCTCCGGCTCTGTGATGTGTTTCTGTGACACTTTGTAAATATTTGGGTTTTGATATAAAAGGCTATATTCAAATGTGATGGACTGTTTTGCACATAACCTGGTTAATCCCGTGTAGGTGAAAACAAATCTGCCTAATGACTGCATTTATCACTTCATGTGGTTTTTCTCATCTTGTCATCTTTAGACTAGATCTAGTGCCTGCTTTACAGAAACATTGTTACTGGTTTATGTCAGTAGAGATTAGCAATGAAACTGAACTGACACTGACTAAAGCACTTTCACAATTGCTTTAGAGATCTAAACCTCACTCTCACTGATTTCATACAGCAAAGCACCTGTCCTTGCAAGGTAGCTGCAGCATCCTGGTACCATTGCACAACCCCAAATCAAAGTTGCTGAAAAAGGTCTGTCTCATCTAAAGAATATAGACAGCTTCTTAAAGAGAAGAAACATGGCTTCTTTACAGTGGGACCTTTCTGAATTTCACTCCTAGCTCAAAACCAGCAGATGTGTCTGCTGTGTTATTGAGAATCTTATAAATATTTGTCCCTCAAATACATATCACTGTGTAGTTTTGCTGCTTATTATCTTGGATTAGTTCAGGCAGATCCGTACTAAGTCTTATCCAGTATGGATGCTCTTTGGTATTTTGCCCTGCTGTCAGGTTGGAAAATGTTCTTGGGTTGGTGATGGTTCTGGTTTTTTTAAATTACAGTGTCCTGAAAGTGGTACTTGTTTAAGAATGCAAAACAGGATTCAGATAATATAATTTTCAGTTGCTGCATGCTTTATGTAGCTTTATTTGTAAATAAACTGCAGTAATCACTGAAGTCGTGTTGAGTTGCTCCTACCTAAAGTATCTGATTGCATTTTTACTGTCTGCATTTATAAAATTTAAGCTTTTCGCCTTAATGTAGTTCCTTTGGAAATCTTAATAAAGGCTCAAGCACTAGATCAAATTAAAAGATTAATTCAGTAGGACTGGCAAAAAAGCAAAGGCTGACAGTAAACTGATCTGTTTCAGAAGTGCCCCTGTTAGCCTCCATGTGCCCAGTCTGGCTTGCTTGTTGGCAGACTTCCTCCTGCCCTGAGCCTTCCTGAGGGCTCTGTTGAGCTGGTGCTGTGACGTGTACAAAGTACAGCTGTCCCAGTTCTGCCCATGATGCATATATAGCCACACGACAAAAGTGTGTGTTGGTGCAGTGCTGTGACCAAAGGATAAGGTAGTAGCTCATGACAGGAGGCACACACTTGAACGCCCTTTGTCCCTCAGCAGCGTTCATGGCTGGTGGTGCAGCTGGGTGGGTGATGAGAGGTCACAACACACAGTTCTGGAGTGGCTCACAGAGAGTCCCAGGTCTCACCACTGGGCTGTTCTGAGCACGGCTGTCTTCTGAGGACTATGAAGTCAGTGCTTTAACAGATCTGCTGTTCATTTGTTCAAACCTCCTCTGACCTCCATAGGTTGTTTCCTCTTCTGATCACCTCATGAGTGTTTGGTGAAAACTGTGAGTCTGCTGTTGAAAGGAATTGTTGTATTCTGCTTCTCCTGTACACTTAATCTGTAAAAGGGAAAATCAATTTCTCTGTTAGTGTCACTATTTTTAACATGGAATTTTCAGTAAAATGAAGGCTCATGGTGTAGTTAATATATTGCTTTCTCTCTTTCATAGGCTGAACAACTGATTGAGAGACTGCAAAATGAAAATGCTGCCAGCTGAAAGCTTGTGTTGTCAGCCAGTTTGGTCTTTGAGCTGTGATTTAAGGTTGCGCAGTTTGATGTTGCCAATAGTATCCCAGGATAAAAAAAAGCTTTAGTTCCTTATGAGAAAATACACACAGAATTTGTAGCTGCTAACCTAATTCTTCCATTTGGATATGTCAGTCTGTATACTTCCCTGGCAATAGCATAATGTATTTTAGTTAAAATTTTAATTTAATTTGTGTAGATGCATACATTATACACACACATACAGGCAGAGAGCTCGTCTATTAAAAGGCAAAGTGTAGCAGCAGAATGTATTGCAACCAAGGAACAAGTTACAAGTAACAGCATATGAATAATACCAAAGTGAGTATTTACTGCAGAATCAAGCTTTCATTTTCAAGATGCATTGTTCTGGATTGCAGGTAACATTTCAAACATTTGTTCCCACCTGCATTTGTATGATGTGTTACTTATGCCTAGTGATGAGTAGGTACATTGCTGAAAGTACAGTACTGACTTTCTGGTACAAAACCACTTCAGTGTTACCTGACTTGCTTGCATCACAGTGACACATTAAACATGAATACAATATGTGCCCAAAATATGATAATGCTGTATAACACAGAATATAGTTTATGTGTAAATAGACCTAAAGATTTTCTTTCCCTCTTATGTGCACAATGTTTGAAATGAGTTACTGTATGTTAACAAAAATGTGAAGAGTGCAAAAGAATGGTTTTAATATACTGCTCTTCTGCATGGCAGTAGATAGAAAAGTCTAGATTTTCTGGTCTTATTCTTACTGCAAGTCCCTTGCAGATTACTAATGCCTTGGCTAAATTTGGATTCTAAATGAAGTCATAAGAGAAGCTAGTCTGAACTGCAGTGTGTGTGGCAGACTTACATAAGAGCAATGTGATTTGACTTTGGGATAGCAGGGACTCAGCCCAAAATTGGAACATGCCAAGTTGCTTAAGGAACCCTGAACATTTGCCTTTGCTGCATGACTCTGATCAGGAATGCTAGCACTTGTTTTTCAGTACCATAATAAGGCAGACTGTTTGGCAAGTTAAAACACCAGAACACATGGAGTGGATTTTCTTTGTTCACAGAGCTTGTCTTGGTGCTGAACTAACCAAGTGCCCTTGCCTAATGCATTCAGATGCAGCTGAGGTGAGAACATCTGTTGCACCTGCAAAGCTTCCCTGAACATAACAGTCTGGTATGTTTTCCATGGATCCAGCACCTGTTGCCTTAGTGATACAATGTGTTGTAATATTCTTACAGTACTTCAGAGAGTCTGCACCCTTCTGAAGAACTGCATTTTCTACCTGTCAGAGTTTACACCTCTCTGTCTGTAAGATCTTCCTAGTGTCTTGTTGTATATAATAGTGGGCACTTGCATGTTATTTGCAGCCCTTCAGGGTTTTAATTTGTTACATTTGGTAGGAAAAGTGTGACTTAAAGCCACCGAACTTTGTGCAATAGATGAAGCAGTTTGAGCTGGTTCCTAACTTAGTGAAATACCTGTACATTAAGGACTTTCAAGAGTTAATACTGTGTATGTGTTCTGATCTGTAATTAATTTATGTAAGTGTACTGAACTGTGACATGTAATATTTAAAATATCAACATGACCTGTTGTCAGAAAGGATTAATAAATGCTAATCTTGGGATGATTTTCCATTGCAATGGAATAGTTGACTGTGAAGGTTGACTCTAGATAGCCCTTTGCTCACTCTTCATCCCTTAGCCCAGTGGGGTGGGAGAAAAGAAAGAACAAAATGAAAAAACTCATGGGTTGAGGTAAGGATAGTTTAGTATGTGAAGGAAAGAGGAAGAAAGCAAAGGTAATCACTCATGACCTCCCAGAGGCCAGCCAGTAGCAGTGGCCCCTCACCCCTTCTGAAGAAAGAAGCCCTTTCTTCAGCTTTGATTCCAGACGTTATATATAATGGAATATCCCTGCTGGCCAGTCTGTCGGGTGTGCAGGTTGTGCTCTCTTCAAGCTTTTTGCCCACTGAGGGCAGGCAGAGCAGGAGAAAGAAAGCCCTGACATTGTCCATGCACTGCTCAGCAATCACCAGAACTGCTGTGTTACCAACACTTCCAGTCACACCCAAAATCTGGGATGCTCTGAAGGAAGTTACCTCCATCCCAGCCAGACTCTGTGTGTTGTCAAATGTATATGAAAGCACAAAGGCCAACTTTTATGTCTCAATTTTGGAGAAGGGCCCCACTAATGACAAGTCTGGAAAGGTAAAAATTTGGATATAATGTCACTTCCAGAGTTTTGCTGATGAGAAAGATGGGGATATCCTGTGTTCTCTGACAGCAGCAGACAGGGCTCAGAACAGCTGAAACAGCAAAGCACTGAACAGAGGCACAATAATTACTGAGAGGAATGCTCGGCCTCTTGTTAGTGTTTTTCAGCACAGAACTGTGTTCTGTTTTCCTTCTGCATTGACAAGAATTCTTGGACTCTGAAGATAATTGTTTTAATTAGGTGAAGAAATACTTTCTGGAAAACCTAACCTAGTACTTCCAATATGTTACTGAATTACTGGCTAGCTCCTGGAAGAGACAGTGGGCAGATACTATTAACTTTGACACTATCTTCTATAGAAGTTTTTAGTAATTCTAAAACCAGAAATCATCTCTAGAGCTTTCTAAGGAGCAAAGATCAGTAGGGAGCATGAACTCAGCAGTTCTTATTCTCCAAGAGCTGGGAGAAGCCAAGCAAAGTGGTTTAGCCACTGTTGCTGGCTCTGTTCTTTGATCCAGTATTAGCAGCCTCGAGAAAAGCTGCTTTTTTGACCTCATGTTTAGGAATGACAAAGCTTTATTTGTACTGTTTTGCTCACTTGTTTTACATAAACTCCCAACCTAACACAAACCCAGAGAATAATGCTTTCATGGTGAAAGGATGAAACAGATACACATAAAATGCTGTTAAATATAAAAACAAATTGTGCTTAAACTGGTAATAATGGCTTAGACTACTCCAAAGTCTTTTTAAGTGTGAATTGTAAATAAAAATAGGAGAATGGGAGCAAACCAGTGAAGATGGTCTTTGAAATCTGAAAAACTTGTAAATAATAAAATGCTGCATAAAAACTCTTGTCATTTCAAACTAATGTGCAATATTTATTGAAATGGTGACAGTGCCTTCAGTGTTTGACAAAACAAACCACAGATAATCCCTATATGATATACAGTCCAAAACAGATGCAGAGTTTACAGACTTCAGGTGGAAGGAGGGCAAACACCACTGAGGTAATCTGTCACAAAGTGAAGTTTAGGAGAGATTTAAACAATTGAAAGATGCTTAGTAGGGCAAGAACACCTTTTAAAAAGGTTGGAGTTTACTTACTTCTCCAAATAATCTGTAATACTAAAATCTGTCACATGCTACAATTTTTGCAAAAACAATAAATTCTGTTCCATTTACTCTAATGGGAGCCTGCTGAAAAAAACAAACTGTATGTTGAAAAGTTTAAATTCGTATTTCATCTGTAGGTGTTAATCTAATCACAGATAAAGCATAATTTTGTAAAACTTGCAGCTAAACTGAGTCATGTGCGTTAGACATAATGCATTCATGACTATACAGGCTTCAGGAGTAATTTTTTATTCTAGTGTACCTGTGGGCAAGCTGACCAGTTCTATTATCGATCTTCTAGTCTTTTTTTTTTAAATACTGGCTATTGCTGGAAGCACAAGCCTGGATTTGTCAACCTGTGTGCTGAGCCAGTTTGGCAGCTCGGTGTTTATAATCATTACATGGGCACACAGAAAGATTTCGGTTCCATTTTCCAGAATGCTCATCTAAAGCTGGCAGGTTGGAAACATAGCTCTGTAACTGTTTAAAAAAAAATCCCTCTATAAATAATAGTTTTGTTATATAGTAATCCTTGGTTCTATTAAAAATAAAATAATAGAGCAAGCTTTTTTTTAGTTGCTTATAAAGTAGGTAAGACCATGTCATTAAGGGCTTGCTCTGCTTCTGTTTTGATCAGAGGTGTACTTAAAGTGCTTGTAGATGTGCTCAAGCATCTACCACTTACATGGCAGTGACAGCCTGGATTGCTGATATTTAACTATTTGAACCAGCCTTAATTAAAATGGAGTAAATCTATGTGAGCTGAACTTGCATCTTATGGTGCTCAGGCTATGTACTATCTCACATGTGTGTCATGCAATGAATTATTTGTACAATGTCCAACATTGGATTATTATTGTATTATTTTTCCTGATAGTGCCATTCCATTAGTCAATTGGTGACACTTGAAGTGCCTGATGCTGCTTCCTGCAAGTTATTGAGCTAACACTTCAGCAGAACTGAGAGAATTTCAGAATTGTTAGAACTAAACAAAATTCATTCCATATCTGCACTATAAAAAGCTCAATTTGTATTGAAATCTGAATGCATGTAAAGACTTCCTCTAACAGGAGCTGAAATACCCTGAGAGGTGTGCTCATATCATTTGGCAAGAAATGCTTTTCCAAAAAGAGCAAAGCATTTTAAATATGTTAAGGTCACAAACTACATGTCCTTTTTCATCTGCAAGATGTAGATCTGTTTAGAAAGAAGCAGTAGGTTTGAAACCTAAGGGAGCACACCAACAGTGCCTGGTGCAGCACATATTCCCCCTTTTCCTATGGGGTAAAATTATGTGGTGATTAAAATCCATTCTCTACCTGCATCTGACTGTCCTGTTCCCCAGATATACTTATTTCAGCACATTAATTAATTCATTTTTTTTCTTCTTTTCATTGTCCTTTCACCAGAAAAAGAAAAAAGGAGGCAGGAAAATAATGAAATCCTCAGCCAAAGACTTAGAGTCAAATCCCCATTGGATGAAAATATCAAAACAAAACCCCATTCTTTTAGGCTTTTTGCAACAGAAGTTCTTTTATATAAATAGCATAAAATTACACATCACTGTTATCAAGTTCCTAATTTATATTAAATTTTAATATCCTTTTTATGCAAGAACAGTATCTTAAAGACCCATCAAGTAGTATAGTTAATACCACATAGAATTTGCACTGCTAAAAATTAGAACTTTAGATTTCTAATGATACAGCTTTATTGGTGGGAACTATTGTAAATACAGCTTCAGATTACTTTTCATAGCACTATTACAACTATGTTATATAACCAATCCTTTATTTTTCTTTCTAAAGAGCTCACAGCTGTGCTCTGAAAGCAGGTAAATGAGGTATGGGACCGTGCTGCTATACTTTCATTTACACAGTTGGTACTGTAGTATCTCTACTCTCCCATTGTGAAAAACATTGCTACATTTTGGTGAAATAAGAGCCTTTTTTTTCCTTATGAATGCACAGGAGCCCCAATACAGAGTATATGCTGACTTTTGCATCTTTACATTGTGGCACTCCACCTTCTCTGAAGGGATATGGCTGAATTCACCAAAAAGAGCTTTGCAGAGCTTTGTGGACTTCTGAAGCATTAGAAGAACAGAAAAGGTAAAGATGGTGTGAAATAGAAAGCAAAAAGAACGAGAGACACAGAAGGTTTGGAGAAGATATGATTGTAAGATTAGGCTATTAAATACCAGAATCAGTGCAGCTGTCCAAAATCCAAGCAAGATGCAACTAATTTAGGACTAATGAAGTATCCTTGCTGTGATATTTTTGTAAGTTTGGGAATTACTATCTACTTCATGAAAATAACTTCCATTTATTCAGTTTAACCATGTGAGATTGAACCTAAAATTTTGCTATATACCAGGCTCTTTTTTTGAAGAAGTATATGAATTCCCTCAAGAGTTTTCAATTCCACATTCTACAAATCCCATTCTCCCACACAGTAAGTATTTCACAACCTGCAGCAATCAGTGGTGTAGGATAGCAAGTTAGTAATTTATACTTTCAGCAACGTAAAAGCAGCAGGCCAGCAGTTATTTGAAGAACTCGCATATACTTGCTAGTAGATGATAATAAGGACAATCCAATGTCAGCATGATGGAGTAGCTCATAATCTGTGATTTCTGTTCAAATCTCTACCATTTTTATAAAAATATCCTCGCCCATTTCCTCTCCTGCTTGTGTCCCAGTAGGTAGCTGAGTTGAAATTCTGTAACCAAAACCTGTGAAGATGGTGTCTAGATGTTTTTCCAAATGGAACCATTTGGCAAAGTTCATTCCAGGACAAAGCCTTATTGTAGTAAAGTGATGACCACATCATCATCTTTTCCTTGCCAAAGCATTTCACCTTCAAAATTAACCAGACCGTGTTTTCTGGCTCTTAACAAGATTCCCACTACTTTATTGGAAATAGTCACGTATGTTTCAAACAGCTGCCCGAATGTCACTCGCACGTGTCCGTCTTCTCCCACCTCTCCAGTTCTTCTGATGATCGAGCACAGCTCTTCTACTTCCTTACCCACGTGTGAGTGAGCATCTTTCCCTCTCTGCTCTGTCCGAGACCCTTCAGGGGGTCTCCCGTAGGTAGGATCTCCTCTGTGAGTATGTGCGGGTTTAGACGCAAGCCTGTCATCACTGCTGAATGGATTCTTCCTCTGATACTCAATGTGATCCTCTGCCCAGGTCTGCCAACTTTTCCTCAGGTCACCCACTGCACTGGTAGCTTTAGCAGTTTGACCCTTTTCTCCTTCCATTTCTGAAAATGTTTTATTGGCACTCAAGCAGCAAACGAATCAGTGACTGCCTGTAACTGGTTCCTGTGTGCACTGTCAGCTGCGAAGGAAGAACAACAAATCAGCCTGGTATTTTTTGGAAGAGTTTTGCCCGAGTGAGAGGCCAGGCTGCTGAAAAATAGGTTAAATATCTGAAAAATTTAAGTCCATTAATAATTCAACAGCAATGAAGAAAGTAGAAGTGATTCAGGTGAAATTCAGAAGTAATTTAGGAACACCGGTAGTAAATTACGCTTACAGGATTACACGATGCTCCACTGATCCCGCAGTTACCGAACAAAACCCGCAGCCTCCGTGCAACACATAGTGCAGTACTCACTCCTCTTGCGGTGACGCCTTTCCAAGAACTTTATCCTGGTACCCGGCAGCCCCGCTGACTTCCCAAACAATCTGATGGAGAGCTGGCTGAGCTGCGGAGAGAGCAAACCATTCCCGAGCGGCAGCAGCGGCACGCCAACCCGTGCACAGGGGTGGGAAGCCGCCCTCCGGCCTGAACGCTGATTAAAGGTGGACAAATTCACGACAAGCTTCCCTCAGACTGTGCAAGTTATTATACACAGAAAATATTATCTGGAGCCGAAACGCCAATACATGGTGGGAGCAGGGGGATTTTCCTCATCAGGCACTGCACGGAGAAGTAAAAACCCAGTTAGCGAGGGCGTCTCTGTCTGCAGCACCCTATTTAGTGAAGGAGAAAGGCAGAATAGATTGTTCTCCCTTAAAAGGCTGTGCTGCAGGGCCATGGCTGCCGGCTACAGCCGCGGGCAGCCGAGGGGCAATGCCTCACCTGCCCCTTGATGGGCAGCTACGCGGGCTGCCCACCGCCTGTGGCAGTGCATGCGCTCGGGGTATGGCCTGACTGTGAAGAACATGGTTATTCGGGTGAATTAGAGACAAACTTTTATATCCCTACAGAGATCTGAAGGTGCTATAGCCATGTCTTTGCTGGGTCGTATGGTTCGCCTGTCGAAATACACAAGCCGGGGTTTCCAGGTAGCACATAAGTAGAGTTGATACTTCTACCGACATTTGAAGTTAAAACACAGGATTAGTGCTGGATTTTCTACGGGGAAGTGGACAGAAATGCAAATTCAGAACAGTTAACAGGTGAATTACAGATTGGGTATTTCTGTATTTTGGAACTATTGTTGTTTTAAAAGTAAGTCTTCATGGGCATTTGCCCACGTACATATGTTGGTGCTGTTGCACGTGAACCCATGCTCAGGGACAGGATTCCTTAAATTTCCCAGCAGAACCTCCAGATCAGTCAAAAACCACTTGTGTTGCCTCTGGGTCTAGAAGAGCACACAAGATGAACAGAGTGGCAGCACAATCGCCAGAGAAGGGAATTGGGAATGATAAGCAACAGTGCACATGAAGTAATGGCTTTTCATTCATGGTCTCTCACTTTTTAAATTGAGACTCATGATTGTTGTATATTACCATTGTTATATTTTTTGTGAGAGGAAGGTGGTTAATTCTAGCTTCCTGGTTAAATTTCAAGTTGAGTAATTACACTTTGTATATATAAAATTCCCCTGAAGGCTAAAAAGTGTAATTTTTTTTTCTTTCCCTCCCTAGAAGAGTTAAGAGTTATGTAATGCTTTTAAGATCACTCCCCACATCCACACTAACAAACTGCTTGATTCTCCTCAGTGGCATTACAGGAATGTATGTTCTGTTTCCAAACACAGCATCTGAAAAGCATTTTGTTTTTATGTGAGAATCAAATACTCCGTAAATCTTAGTAATGTACATCCACTTTCAAACTAAGTAGAGCAATATGTATACACTGCCAGAGATTATGCATGGAAAAAGCAAGAAAAAACTAGGGCTTTTGTTAAAGTCTTCTGTAGGAAACAGTATCAGGTTTCACAGGTAACAGGTATTCACCTCGAGAGAACAGGCAACAATGCCCCGAAGGTAAAGCAGTGCAGATAAAGTAAGCAAAAGCCAGTTTCAAAGAGATTAAGCTTAAAAAAAATACTAACAACGCCTTCTAAGGAGTTTCTAAAATGGAAGCAATACAGCTAAGAAATTTAAAGTGAAACAGATTGGAAAAATAAAAGCGTACTTCTTCCACTAAAGCTCTCTCAGCAATTCCAAGATTTTGTAAGCAACCTCAGATCCGCAGGGTTTGTCAGCAGTTCAACAATGTGTTTATTGCTCTGTCTCAGTATTCAACTACTGAGGTGAACAAGCTGGACCCACATGTACCTCTTTTCTTTCTCTTCTAGGAAAGTTCACGTTTAGGTGACAGGTCACTTTAGATTACTTTCTTGTCAATCATCAGGGCTAAAGCTTCACCGTAAACTCAGTTTTGATTACTGCAGGAAGGGATAACTGGAGAAGCTGCAGGATGGGATTATGGAGATGCATCAAGAAGGTGTCCCGTGCAGTGCTCACAGGTCATGAGCAAAATCTTACCCATCTAGAAAAGAACCCAAAAAACTGGGAAAAAAAAAAAAAAAANAAAAAAAAAAAGACCCAAAAAAACACACAAACCTAACAACATCAGCATATAAAACATAGAACGTGTTCAGTGCTGAGCTGGCTTGGTCCTAATAAACAGTTTACCAAAATCCGGCTAAGATGAACCTTTCAGATCAACACAACAGGAAGACCAGTGAGTATGGGATTACAATTATGAAAACTAGATATTAAAATAAAGCATAATCCGCAAGAGAAACCCCTTTTTGCCCCTCTGCCGGACCGTCACACCTCTGCCCCTTTCCTGGGAATGTTTCTCTACCTGCTGCGACACCCACGCCGCCGGCACTGACCTCCTTCCCACGGAAAAAGGAATGCGACTCCTTTGGCATCTGTTAATTCTTAATGTTATTTAATGCTCCAGATCCTTAAATGTGGCCGGGAGAGGCCGCAGCGCGCCCCAGACAGTGAAACACCCCTGAGCGAGCGTGTCCCCAGTGTACACGGAGCTATTTATAAACCACACGCAGGCTGCAATGGCACGTGGCGTGCGTGATACAGCACAACCCAGATATAACTACAAGGAGCATGAGAAGGAGAGGAAATGAGCAGCGACTCCCGAAGAGTTCGCGCACGCCGCGCCCCGCTCCGGGAGCGCGGGGGTCTCTCCGTCACCCGCCCCTTCCCGGGCTCCTCCCGCCCAGCCCAGCCCAGCCCAGCCCAGCCCAGCCCAGCCCTGCCGGCGGCGCATGCGGGAGGCGGGGATGGCTGGACATGGCGCTGCCAGCGCCGCGCTACGGCGCTACTTGCTGCTGCTGGCGCAGGAGCACCTGGAGTTCCGCCTGCCGGTGAGCGCTGCGTGCGGCCGGGGCCGGCGGCGGGCCCGGGTGGGGCGCTGCCCTCCCCTCCCCTCCCCTCCGGGGTGCCCCCGACGGCGCGGCCCCGCCCGGGGTCCGCTCTGCCCGGGAGGGCGGCCGGCGCCTCTTCTCTGGCCGCTCCCCGTGTGCTGTGGGCAGGGCTCCCTGCTCCCCTCCTGCCCCAGGCTCTTGGAGAGCCTCCGCCTGGTGGCTGTAGGGCAGCGCTTTCCTAGCCGCTCGCTTTTCCAGAGCCTCTGGCGCTAGGAGAGGTTTGCCAGCACAGTACCCGCGGCTCCGTGTGAGGAGCGGAAGTTGGGGCTATAAAAATGCTTTCAAGGTTTTGGTGACTAATTTTAAAGTTTGTTTAAGTTATTCGTCAGCTCCCGGCTGCGTGCCCTGGGTGCAGGGGTGGCTGGTGCTGCCCTGGGCCCCTCTCGATGGACCGCCCAGGGATCACCGTCCCTGCAGGCGCTCAGGAGAGGGCTGGATGTGGCACTCAGTGCCATGGTCTGTGCCACAGGGTGATGCTCCCTTGTCGATTGGACTGTCACGTATTACAAAGTGCTTAATGTCTCTTGAAGTTTTTATTTTCATTGTTTTCATTAAGGTTCTCTTTCCTATTTGCTTTGTGGGACTAGAACCCGAGTTTCATTTATGATCAACCTGATTTTTCTTTAGGCAAGGTCATTGGATGAAGTAAACAGGAGATGATACATATGTTACACAGAGTTTTTCTTTATATCACCAAGGTTTTGACGACACTTGGTTGATACAGCTGCTGAAAGAAGCAGAGCCATTTCTCTTTTATTTTAGTGACTGCACAGCTTTTTTGGTTTTGTGATGAGCTATGCTGGGAACAAATTATGCTATCATGTTCCTAGCATAATTTGACATAATTCCTAGCATTACCTCAAAAACCTAATGGAGCAAGCAAGGACAGATTGCTTTTAGCCAGATGATCTGCTGGTCCTGACCCTGGGTCAGTGTTACTAGTGAAGCATCACTTTTATGTGAAATAGTTAGAAAAATATTTTAAGAAGAAAATGGATAATATTGTAAGAGGAATGTTGTTGTGACAGTGGAGGATTGAACAGTAAAGATTCTGATGAAGGAGAATATGCGAAATGGTGGGGTTTAATTACTGAAATTTTCCTGACATTCGCCGATGAATTTTGAGAAAACTGTTTTTAATAGCAGGGAAGTCTTAATTTTCAGTTCACGAATAGTACATACAATCTGAATTTACTTGTGAACTTCTGCCCTATCTACCATCTGCATTAGAATTTGTGTCATGCTGCTTCTCTTTTCTCTTTTTCCCCTTTTCCTCTTCTTCTTTATAAGATTCTAAAATCTGACCTGTATATTTTCACTTCAGGAAATAGCATCATTGCTCTCCCTTTGTGGTGGACAATTCAGTGGCGAGCAGGAAATTCGTGTAAATGTAAGTGAGGACCAAATATTTTACTTGTGTGTGTATGGTATGCAAGTATGTTCTTTATAGTATTTTTGTTAACTGTAGGCAGCTAAATAAATATTGAAATTTCTTAAGAAAATTGGGAATCTTACCCAAACTGAGGACTTCTCAATTTTAGTAAAGACTCAGAACATATGCACAAAATGCACCTCAGGTTGTCTTCATTTACCAGCATGAAAAGAAGCAGTGCCATCTGCTGGGAGGTTCTTCTTGCTTTTTAGGATAGCTAAACACTGAAAACACTCAGCAGCAGTTTGGAATTGGTGTTTGCCTCTAAATCACTGAGACAGAGCAGGAGTGCAGTTAGGAAGCCATATGATTCTGGTCTCAGTCCTTGAACAGAGAATGTTTTTGGGATTTAGTTACTGCTTGTGTGTAACGAGGTGTTTCCAGTCTTTAGAGGATGAATAATTGAGAGAAATACAGACAATATTTTACCAAGTCAATTATATTGGAAAAATTAAATACATAACAGAATTTCTCACACATTCAAGCTGAGTAAACAGTTTTGTCTCAGATTAATTATTTTATCCCCACATTCTCTGTATGATTAAATGTAGTAGATGTATTTTTTTATTAATTTTTTAAATCTTCAGTATGCATTTTCTGTTTTTATAAAATAGAATTGTGTAGTTATGTAATTCATGTGACATTCTGCAGCTGGGTATTTGCATCACTTACCTTCTCTTTATTGCAGTCTCCCTTTTGGATTCTCAATATTCCCTCAGAAGAGATGGCAAGGGGACTAATGAAGCGGACAGTATGTGCAAAGTAAGAGATGAAAAATCTTGTAAATAATTACCTATGCAGTGGAATTTTGTTCTATTATTGCAAATATAAATTTTGTATGGCGTCATAAAGAGTCTCTGATTCCCTCTAGAATTGGTAAGGTGTTGCTGGACCCTGTAGGACTGATTATGTAGCATGCCTGTCTGTCATCTTTACTCAGTGTATCACCAATTCAGGGTCTCAATGTGGTGTTCTTCACTTCAGAGACAGCACTTGTAGTGTCACTCATGTTTTATGTGCCTTGTATAATGTTGAGTTAGTGACTTTTTCTAAAATATGTATGGAATTGAAAGATACAACCAGTGATATGTGAAAACTGACAAGTATGGAAGGGAAAGTTTGAGTCACCCTCCCTCAGTCCTGGCATCCAAGCCTTCAGCCCTGACTGCTGCAGCAGAGGTCCCTTCTTGGAAATTCAAGAGCACAAGAATATGCTGGAGAGTGATTGTTCCAGCTGGTCCTTTTTAGTGGTGTCTGAATAACATGCTTCCTAGTGAGGTGCATGAGAGAGGCCTTGAAGTATGGCTCAGGATGAGAAGCAGCATAGGTGTGTTATGTCCCTCTGACCATATTAAGCTTGTGGTGTCTGTGCTTGTTCTTCAGAGCTTCTGGTCTCCTCTGCAAAATGTTGCCCAGTACCCGTTGAGTACTTGTCTCAGGTATTCAGTTTTACCTACAATGACTTGGGCTCTCCACTCTTGCCTAAAGAATGGAGCACTGCACTTCAAAAAGCAGCTGCAGGCAACTAGGGGAGTAAAATGTGACAAAACAGCTTGCAGATGTTCTGCACACCATGCACTCTTAGCTAATGTTTGCTAATTCTATGTACAAAGCCTAACTAGCCCATGGCTTATTTTTCTGTCCTACTGCTGGTTGTGGGGAGATGTGTTAGTTTTAGAATAAGGTCACTGGAGTACCTCCGTTGCACTGCTAATCAATATGAAAAGGTCTGAAGCTTTTGGTATGTGTTACCAAACAAAGAAAAACATGAGTGAAATATCAGCCTGCGATTAAAATTACTTGTTACAAACAAAAACTAAAACATTTGTCTAGAATTAAATGCCAACTTTAATAATGAATTAAAGCCTAAATACATTGGCCAAGTAAGTTAAAAGGAGTCAGTGTCTGTAAGGCATTTTTCCTGCTCTGTGTGACTGACTCTAAAAAACTTTGTAATTTCAGGTCTATATTTGAACTGTGGGGCCATGGAAAATCTGCAGGGGAGCTCTATGCATCTTTGAAGAACTATCCAACAGACAAGATGGTATACATAAAAAGAATCTGGATACTATTGTTCTTTAAGCCCACTGAATAGCACTGCATCTCTACTAAAGTGTCTTTGCCTTTTCTTTTTTCTTCCAGCTTCCATATCTACATTCAGACTCTACTTACAAAGTACACATTCATACATTTAATAAAACACTGACCCAAGCACAGAAAATAAAAAAGATTGATGTAAGTAGATGGTTAAGAAATCTTTGTTTAGTTTAATCTATTAATGTTATTCTTATTCCATGCTATCAGTGTATTTAAGTTTCTTCAAGATCTTAAGGAAGTTTATGGCTTATGTCTTATCAGGTCTAAATGAGATTTTTTTTGTCTGAATTAATATTCGCTCAAAATTCATGACTTTCCCCCCCCCCCCCATAAACAGACTGTTTAAGGCTTATACAATACCAAACAAATATCACTGCTGATTTCAGCCCAGTGTGCTGGGGAAATTGAAGCTTACTGCTGAGAACTACAAGATTCAAATGGCAAGAGTTAGGTGCTAGATTTTTGGAAAATCTGTTACTTGATCTCCGTATTAGGCTTTTATTGTTGCAGAATGTGGAACAAGTGACTTCAGCTGCAAGCTGTGGATTGTGTGCTGATCTCCTGTTCTGTCATCATGTTCTTACCTGTACTTGTGCTCTCCTCCTAACTATCAGTATTTCATTTAGGAAATTTTTCCAACTTACTGTTTATTTCTGCTCTTTCACATTCTATTTTGGCACCTGTTTGTTCAATTTACTTCATTTACAGAGACTGAAATTATCTGTATAAGTCATAGCTTTTATCGCTGTTCAGTTTTTGTGTAAATGAAATAATGCTAAGTATGTAAACTGCTGTAGCTGGACATCACTGAAATTTCACATCCCATTATTAATCATCAGTGTTGTTTCTATAACTTGAAAATTGTATAATTAATATGCACAGTTAATTTTCTCTGAAGTTGAGCTCTGTTCAGTTAATAAAAAGTGTTATGGTTCCCAATTCCAAACCGTAATCATTTGAGCTATTTTTGTTAAGAAGAAAGTATTTTCAAAAAACCATTGAAAATTGAACTTGTTAATACTAGTATTAACAAGTTAATACTAGTATTAACAAGTGAAATTTCTCACAAGTGAAATTGTGGGTTTTTTGCTGATTTTTTGGTTGGTTGGTTTTGTTATTTTTTTCTTGGGGAGGATGGTACCTATTTAAAAAAAAAAAATGACCCTGTTTATTTTTGTATGTTTTCTTTATTGTATAGGCCCTTGAATTTCTGCCATTCAGAGGAAAAGTAAATTTAAAGAATCCAGAACACATATTTTGGATTTTGGAAGATTATGGAATGAACCCAAACGATGTTCCAGAAGAGCCTATTCATCTGTATTTTGGTAGATGGGTGCGTGAGCATGTTTGCTTCTGTTCTTGCAGGCTTGTATTTTCAGGAGAATGTACTTAAGTTTAAATGTAAAAAGTGTTTTGACTTTTAATAGAAGCAGGAAATAACCGTTGTCTGAATTCGTCTTTGCATAATACTCTGAAGCAAGTCTTGGGAGGTCTTACTGTGACTAGGAAAAAGTGGCTTTAATGAACAATTTAGAGGTGGAAAAAAATGAAGTTGTATGTAGAAACACACCTTTGTTTTGCCATCCACTGAGAGAGCTTAGCACAGCAGTGACACTGAACAGCTGGGGTAGTGTGTTACATTTTTTTGGACCTAGGTGCAGCTGAAAGCCCCTGTTCCAAACACATAGAAAGATGTACAGAACTGTAAATGGCTTGTGTCCCTGCTGAGTGGCATCAGCCTCACCGGAGCATTCTGTAAGTGCTTCAAGTGATCCTGGCAGGGACTTTCATGGAAAGGTACAGACTGATCCCTGAGGCTTTGGACATCAGTGAGTCAAGCCCACAGGCAGGTACCTGCCCCAGGGAACACCGACAGTGCAGAAGGAACCAAGTAAAAAAACTGTCTGGAGCCTCTCATCTGTGGTCTTCACTACAAATGTTCCTGCCTGCTGGCCATATGCACTCTAAACCTGCTGCATTATTAGGATACCCTGAGGAAATTTGATCTGGTCTTTTATGTTATTGTGAGGGAAGACTGGCTCCTCAAAGGATTTCCCAGAATGACACTAGCCACTGGTGGGAATATGTGCTTGCAGTGTTCTGGGTCAAGGGCAGCTGAAAGGAGGGAGGAGTACTGCAGAGGTTGTGTAGCTGTAGTCAGTGGCTTGTGTTACAGGGAAGTTACAGATTCAAGTGATCTGTTAGGACCTGTGAATATTCTCCATGCTGTGATGGATGTGTGAGCACCCTGTGTTGTGGTAATGCTGCAAAACATTGCAGCTGTTGTCCCATCTGCGCTGAATTCCTAAAGTGTTCAAAAATGAGTAAACCAACCTGGAAAAATAGGCAGGTGTATTTTGTTAACACAGTAAGACTGATGTTGAGAGAGGTGGGGGGATGGTATTGGGTAGTGTTTGAATGTGTTTTGTTTTGGATTGCTTTGGTCTCCTCCAACATACTTTGGAAGTCTGATGTAAAAATGCCAGCATTTGGTCTTTGTTTGCTTTTCCCTCAAATTCTCACCTGTCAACGTTATCCTAAATTTGGATTTTGAGTGGGACAGAAATTCCAGTGAAGAAAGAAATTCTGTCTGACCTTAAGCATCCATGTGTGTGCATGCATGTCTTAATGAGTGTGTCTAATCCGCATATTTTTGAAATCTTTTTAACTCTGAATTGCCAGGAATTGTTTTTCTGATGCTTAGAATAATAGCAAAGTTACTCTAATTGTAATTTCTTGAAATAATTTTCTCTCTAAAATGTTTGTACATTTTTAACCTCTGTCTTGAAGAACTCACCTAGGTGTTGAACCAAGATACCTGTTGCTTGGAAAGAAGTCTGTCATTTTTCAGATGTCAGAAAGCAAGGTGATGTGTTACGAAGTAAAGTTACCTGTTTTTGGATGGTGTCACTAAAGAAAGTCTGTTAGCGTGTCTGTTTATATCTTGTATCCAGGATCTGACAGGGGTTTTAAATGTTTCAACAGATTGCAGATGGCCAAAGAGAACTCATTGAATCCTACAGTGTAAAGAAGAGACACTTCATTGGAAATACAAGCATGGATGCCTGCCTCTCCTTCATCATGGCAAACCACGGGAGAGTAAAACCGAATGACATTGTATATGATCCATTTGTTGGAACAGGTATATGTTTGGTTTTTTTCAGCTAGTGGGAAGAGCTGTAAGATTGTGTTGGTGTTTGCACTACTCTTTTACCTGGTGTCTGACTTCTGGTGTTCAGCAGATATTTGAGATGATACCAAAGACAAAATGGTGTTTATAAAATTAATGGTTTGTTAACCTGAAAGGGATTTTGGAGGAAGGACACCAAATTCCAAAGATGTAAACAGTTTATATTGTGCTTTTAAAAGGTCTGTCTTCACTGGTGTGTTTTATGCCTACATGGCCTAAACGACCAATCCATGTGTGTCATGGACTGCTTAAGATCAAAGTGACCAAGAATTGGAATTTGGCTAAGCACTTGCTGCAGTCACTTCGAGGACATTACAAAGCAGCATTTTAGAGCTGGCTCTTTAGGGGAGTGCTGAGGGCATTTCTGGTCATACAGCACAACATAGCAATAGTGAGGTCATGGCAGCATTCCATGAGGAACACTTCGTTGTGCCATTAGAGCCTGTCTTCAGGATAATATTGCTCACACAAGTACCCTTCCCCGGCTGAGTTTATCTTATCTTAGCCAGGAGGGGGAGCTTTTATTCCACATATTGCTGTGCATGGCACAGAAGTACTTTTTGCCTTAGGGAAACTGCTATGCGTGAAATAGCTGACCTATTGTGTCGGCTTGTGCCATATAATTGTAAAGCACAGTATATTGTGTTAAGCTACCTATAGTAGTTTCTTCAAAAATGTAGCAAAGGCTTTGTTTCTGACCTAGAACTGAATCATAGAGTATCCTGAGTCGGAAAGAACCCAAAAGGATCATCAGAGTCCAACTCTTGGCCCTGCAAAGGGCACCCTAAGAGTCACACCTTGTGCCTGAGAGCATTGTCTAAATGTTTCTTGAACTCTCTCAGGCTGTGACCACTTCCCTTGGGAATCTGTTCTAGTGCCCAACCACCTCTGGGTATTATTTTTTTAATATCCAACCTAGAACTTCCCAGACACAGCTTCAGGCCATTCCCTTGGGTCCTGTCACTGGTCACCACAGAGAAGAGATCAATGCCTTCCTCTCCTCTTGCCCTAAAGAGGAAGCTGTAAATTGTACTGTGGGCTCCCCTCAGTCTCTCCTTCTCCAGGATGAACAGACCAAGTGACCTCAGATCTCAAGGCCCTTCACCATCTTTGTTGCCCTCCTTTGGACACTTTTGAATACTTTAATGTCTTTCATATTGTGGCATCCAGCACTGCCCCCAGCACTAGAGGTGAGGCTGCCCCAGCTCAGAGCACAGTGGGACAATCTCTTGCCCAGCTGCAGTGCTGTGCCTGATGCACCCCAGGACACACTTGGCGCTCCTGGCTGCCAGGGCACTGCTGACTCATGCTCAACTTGCTAAATTTTAATCAAGGTGACCCCATGTGAAATGCATAGATTTAAAAATACTTATATTAATGGGAAGATGATGAAAAATCTCTGCAGAGAGGTTAGGGAGAGAGAAGACTACACTAGTAGGATAAATTCTTATTAGCATGTGTCTTCTCTGTGCCATAGAAAAAGAGCATGGATATTATATTTTCAGAAACAGAGGGGTTTAGTGAACTCTGTTTTTTGTCTTAAATTTGGTTTTTATAGGACCTGATTTTTTTCTTGCATACTAATATCTTAGGAAATTTTCTTCTCTTTCTTGTGCTTGTTCTATGAAAGGTTCAGGAAATCACTTTATTTACCTCTTAGCAGTTGGTTTCATTTTGATGTCTGTGGCATTTTGTCGTATTATAAAATCTGCTAACTTAAATCACAAAATAAAGTCTCTGAGAGCATTCTTTCTCTTGGGAGTGAAAATTGAAGAAAAATAAAAAGGAAGGGTAAAGACAGAAGAATGAAAGTCGCATAAAAATGATGAAGCTATAGAAATTAAAGATAAATGTTGTGTTTCGGTTCAAACATGTACATAATTTGTATACATGTGTATGAATTATGTATATGTTCATATACATCCATATATGTAACATACAAAATTCTCCCCAAATTGCTTAGTGGTTTGAATTACAATTTAAATTAGGTTTTTTTGTTAGGCATTTGTAATATAAAGGGTAGGGATTAAACGGGACACTGGAGATACTGGGTGGCATGCCATTTGTCAGCAGAGTGTATTTATGGCTAAATAATAGTGGCTTTTTCACCTACTTCTTTTGAGTAAACCCCAGAAATTTCAGTTGTCTTATGAGGACCTTCAGAAGATTTTCAAGCTTGTCAGTACAACAATGCCCTGTCACTGGAGTTTCTGGGAAGTGGTTTGGAGTTGGGAGTGATGAAGTAATTTTGAGCTGATGGGTTTGGAAATATATTTATTCAGAATCTGAGGAGTATTTTGAAGAACTGCAGTTCAGATTTCTTTATTAGTGTAGCTTTGTTACCTGGCTGTGTTTCTGCCTGTTTTTTTACACTGAAAAAGTGAATAGTACCAAACCAGAATGGCCTTGCAAAATGGTTCTCGCTAGTTGTAAACTAACTGGTTTTTGCTGCATAAGCCAAATAGTAAGTCTTTCACATTAGTATAAGAATGGACAGTTGGCATTTTTCCTTGGAATATAAAGTGCTCTTTGACCAGGCTGGCTTTTAAGAGACTTGATTCTCCTTTTTACTGTCAAGCAGAATTGGAATGACCAAGACTGTTTTTAACTTCCATCCATGTTTAGATAGTCTTTCCTCAGTGCTGGGCAGAAGGAAGCCTGGAAGCTTCTAGAAGAATAAATCACGTCTTTTACCTGAATATTTTGCGCTTCCTTGTAGACAGTCAGTTCAGGTTATCTCAGTAATCTTGTTTATTGTTCTTTTGGAAGATACTTGTGATACTGGATGGTTGTAAATGACAGGATGTTTTTCTTTGACATCCTGGAGGACCAGGATCTGTGCTGAAGAGGTGGAGGAATAGTGTATGATAGAAAGGGATGAAGGTCTGTGCCATCATCATTCTGCTACAGGTCACCAGGGACAGAGTGATTCCCTGATTAACCCTTTCATATACTGATCAAAGGGCTGGCCATGTAAGAGTATGTAAGTCTCTGTGCACCTTCTGCATGAACACAGTTGAACTAGTACAAGCTGAGATTTATTAAAAGCTGTAAATTCATTATTTCCAAGCTTCTTTTTTTTTGCCTGTGATTAAAAATAGATGGGCAAAGGACTCTCTTCTTACTTTTTTTGTAGGACTGGGTGGTATGCCATACTTGGGGTCAGGGCTAGCTAAATTTGTCTTGACCCTATGGATGTACTGCCCAATCTGTTCTGAGGGATTGCAGCCAAGAAGGGAAATGGGTGACTCCTTTGGGGTGAGTAACCTTGTTTATCCCTGATCCATTTCACAAGAAAAAGCAGAGGAATATTAAAAGTTTTTTTGTTCTTGCTCACCTTTGGTTTTGATAGAGTTCATTACCATATGGTGCAGAAGTTTTCTGGTGCACACAGGGCACATTAGGGATTTGCTGGTGTTCAGTGGGTGGCTCAGGACAGTGCAGCCACCTGAGATGCTTCTTTCCATGCTCCTGGTGAATGGGAGAACTGGTGTCACCCCCACAGCCAGCTTGCAAATTGTCAGCCATTCATCCTGCAGCAGTCATCCCCTTTATTTAGCAGGACTGTTGATATCAGTGGGGTTCACAGCCTTGTTCTCAGTTGCTGTTCTGTTCTAAACCATTCTGGTAGCCACAGACCTCTTTATTAATAATTTGACCACACAGATATCTGTCCATCTCCTGCAGTCTGTTCATTGTTTCATTTGGAAGCTGTTAAATAATTAATGTAATTTATTCTTTTCTATGGGCTGTTCATCTGTTGTCAGTTTCAAGGAAAAATCACACTTTTTTTTTTAGTATGCTGTTCTTTTCTTTTTTTATTAGGAAGGCAATAGCAGCAATTAAAAAAACTGGTTTTATTAGAAAGTAACTACATTAGTAAAACTACTGACAAAGTAGGCAGCCTACTCACAGACAGATGTATTTGTACGTAGTTTTCACACTTGAAAATTATTACAGAAATGTTTTTTATATTTATGTTTACATTGGAGATATTTACATTTGTAAGGGTCTTAACCATTGTTTCTTACAACATGGGAATAGCCCCCTAATAAAAGTTTGATTTTTAGCCACTGTTAAAGAAACTGGCTTTGAGAACAGACACAGTGGAACTGCCATTTGTTCCGTGATGCTTTTTCCAATTGTTTGACAACAGTTTGAAATTCTGCTCCTTGCAAAATAGAATCAAAAGTTTTGTTTCATGATTAAAGGATCTTACTGCTTAAAATACAGAAAGCCATAAACAAAACTCCTGAACAATCTCCAGAGGAGTGACATAGGGCATTGCAAGATAAGGAAAATCATGTAGAGCGGACAAAGGACTTAGTGTTATTATGTCTGATTATAATTACATAGTGATTATAATTGGTTGATAGTTCTACTTATTTTTTTAGTATTTGTTTTATTTTTTTTTCTTTTCCTTGGGTGTAATGTGCTGCTGCTGTAGGCTCCTGAAGTTCCTGAGGAAAAAATACTAATGCAGGTGACATTTATGACAGAAGTTTATGCTTTGCCTTTTTTCTTCCCTGTGTAGGTGGCCTTCTAATCTCCTCAGCACATTTTGGGGCATATGTGTGTGGTACTGATATAGATTACAACACAATCCATGGACTAGGTATGTTACATATTTTGAAGCCACTGAAATCTTACCCTCTGGAATTTAAGAATACTGATGGTAGCAGATGATACTTAGTGGGTTTTAAAGCAGCATTAATCTTCACAGGATTTATTTGGCCATGCTTAGTTTTATTCAGCAATTTACATGTACGCTAGTTAAGATATTATCTTATTTTTAAGCAGGAAATGTTTTTGAAAAAGAATAATTAAGACCAAAACAAAGTTCCAAATAATCATTACCACCGCTATGTGCTCTTTTAACCCATGATGTGGGAAGCTCTTCAAAACCTAACCCAGGAACCCTAATCTTATTGTTACTTCTCTGCAAATATGCAAATTATATTTGACCCTAGTGGACAGGGTTGTGACTGGTGGCTGGAGAGAGCATCTTGCAAACCAGCATTTTTGTAAATGTGTTCTTTGACATGTTGTGCATATGATTCAGCAGAACTTATCTCATGTATTTTCATTTTTCCTTACTGCTTGTGAAGTTTATTGTGAGTACTTTTGACAGGTTTTTTTGGTGACATTTAATTATTTTCTTTTAATTTAAATGGTAGAGTATATGAAAGCTTTTCTTATATAATAGTTTCTTGTTGAGTATGCTTTTTTTTTTCCCTTTCCATTCCACTTCCCCTCCCAGGCAAGGCAAGCAGAAAGAACCAGAAATGGAGAGGGCCAGATGAAAATATCAGAGCTAGTCTCCGACAGTATGGTTTAGAGAAATACTACCTTGATGCACTTGTTGCTGATTTTTCAAGACCAATATGGAGAAAAGGGATATTGTTTGATGCAATCATTACAGACCGTAAGTTTGTTACTGCCTTTTTTTTCCCAATAACAGTGACTAAAACATTATTGCCCATGTACATTGATTAAATAGGTGCTTAGGTCTGCAGCTTCTGTATTTCCAAAGATTGTCGAGAGCAGCACTATGGAAATTGGATCTGCATTTGACATCTCTGCATTTGTTTTAAGGATAGTTATTAATGTGTAATGAAGCTGACAATGACACTTTCTTCTATGGAGAGAACGTTACATTCACTGGCAGAAATCTATATGGCTGAAAATCATCCTTTGAAGAAGTCTCCTTCAGTAAAAGCATAACATGATTGATGCATAGAGACTTCTTACCAGAATGGTCTGTGTTGCTGTTGGCAGCACATTGGAGTCTGCCATGCATCTCTGATGGACTTTGGGAGACTTGTGATAAGTGCTTAATGTAATGCTTCCAGAGAGAAATTTTAATGTGTTTCCAGTACACTTAGCTACTGGAAGCAGGAGCAGTTTGAAAGGATCCTCTGCTCTTTTAGAAACCTATTTACTAAACACTATTTGTCTTGTAAGAGATGAAAAATAAACCAAGAGGATAAATGAAGACCTTGATACAGCAATTTCTGATCTCAAGTGCTGGCTTTTGAAATGACACACTCATATTAATTTGGAGTGGGAAGTGTGACTTTTCTTTGTGGGTTGCCTGCTGGTTTTTATTTGGCCTGTTCAGCAATGAGACAATGTAGAATATTAGTATGGACTTAGAACTGAGTGTGAAACCATTTGTAAAACTTCTGCAGTGGTTACACTGGTGCTTTTGTGAAACACGTCTCACAAACTCAGGTTTTTTGAACATGAAGTAAGTATATTGTGCTATTATAGATGTGCAAAAAACGTGTGAGAAAAAACCTTCTCTGGTTCCTGTGTGTGAGAATTACCATTTGTGTAAAGTACTGACAAGAAATTTTTATATACTTAATTCGATTTTGTAAAAGGTTAGTTAAGTGCTGTAGGGGACATATTCATGTCTGTCAAACAAAAAAGGATGGGATTATTTATCACATATTGGAAATCTAAGAAATATATTTTAAGAAAAAACACAGCATTGTCCTTTGTCTTGTAGTAAACATGTAGGATGCTAGAAGCTCTTACAGCTGAAGGGATTTCCTTGAAACAATTTTAAAATAACTTTTTGGAGCAAGAAGCTTTCAACAGATCTTGAAGAAATTTCCCTTACTGACTTCTACTTTGTAAAAACATTCAATTTTTTTTACCCTGTATAAGCCACAGTTTGTGCACTATTGTGTATGTATGGTGTAATTGTATGTTTTTTGGACAAAGGGTGAGGTTCTCATCTCTGCATTTTGCTTTTGCTTTGTCTAGCACCATATGGTATCAGAGAAGCACCTCGCAGAATGGGATCACAAAAGGAAACAGTTAAATCAGTTGAAAGAAGGTGGGGAAACTGTCTTGTCTGTTATAGAATATAAATGTCTTAATGGAAAGCTAGTTGCAGTTTTAGAATATTTATTACTTCTTAGTTGGCTGTCAGAAGTTAAAAAATGTTAGGAATTATAATTAAAGAAGAAAAATCCTTTTGTTTCTGTTTGCAAAATTACTATGTCACTTCCTGAAACCTTCATGGTTTTGTTTTCTCTCATCCTTTGTGTGTGTTTAGATTTCAAATCCTATTTCTCACCACTTTGAACCACCATTAGCATGTATTTCCAGAAAAGTTCTCTTTGGTCCCTGCAGGCTGCAAAGTCACTCTAAAGTGGCATACCTGTAATTTTACCTTTAACATTTTTCTTTTGCATTTTCTACTGCTCCTTTCTTTACAGAGATACTGTATGACTTCTCCACTGCCTGGCCTTCCTTGCCTTCTGACTATAATTCCTTTAGAAAGATGCTGTGCAAAATAACTATTGCGGCATAACTGTAGTTCTTTAGACTTATCTTTAGTACATGTGGAAGTCAAAGAGAGAGTTGGGGGAACTTGAGAAGTTGTATTCCTCATAGTAGAAGTTGTACTCCTGGATTGTCTTAAGTAGCTTTGCAAAGCTCAGAAAGTGCTTTTGTATTGATTTTTTTAAAATTACTATTAAAAATTTAGAATTTATCTGTGCGCTTGTGTTTGTTTACACTTGTACTTTTTCTTTCCAGCACAGAAAATCACTTCTTCGTTTCATCCAGTTACCATCTAAGTGATATCTTTTTTGACCTCTTGAAGTTTGGGGCAGAACATCTGGTGATGGGAGGAAGATTGGTTTACTGGCTGCCTGTATACAGACCTGAGTATGTACTGTTGATTTCTGCTATGTTGTGTGTCAGAATGGATGCTGCATTCTCACTGTGCTTTCCTTTGGGACATAGGAGCTTCCATAGTACCAGCACTTAAGAGTAATGCCCTGACTTTATATTTTAAAATTTTATATGACGGGGGCCACATTTTGTAACAGAGCTTTTGAATGGAGATAATGCCTGACTGTTACCAAACAGAAAATCCCTTTGCATATCATTGTAAATGCATGTCCAGTAGGTTGAGTTTTAAGCTTAAAAAGTTAGACTTTCAAGGTGCAGATAGTTTTCTAAGACAGTAGAAGCAAGGCTAGTGTTAGTATGTGTTTCTGCTAAAGTAGTTGATAGAGGTTTGTGAAAATCATCCTTGGTTCTTTGGGGTTTGGCACTACTGATTTGTTGGAATCTGTGGTATTGATGATTCCAAGATTGTAAAAAGTCTCTGTCTTTCTGCCCTGTTGCCAAAGAAGAAGTCATAATTCATTTGTGCTGTTTTCAAGGTTGTTTATTCTTGCTTATCTCTAACATGTTCTGCTGCCCTGCCGCAGGTCTGTCCTGCAGGGCAGCGTGTGGGGCTCTGCCCTCAGTGGGATGTTACAAACATTAAATACCAGAAACTACCTGTGCTGTATTTACAATAATATGCCAATATCTATCATCTACGTTGAACAGTGTGTTCCCAGCCTAAACCAATAGAAAAATGTCAACACTACAGTGAAACATGGAGGGCATGAAGAAGGAGGAAAAAGGACAAAACACACCAAATTTTCTCCATCTTGTGCCCTTTGAACCCCTAATCTAGAATTCTAAAATGTTACTTTTGCAGCCATGCCACACTTAATTATTACTTATATCAAACACTCAGATCTTGTAATTCATCCTGTAAGATTGAAAACTCTTTTCCATGGACAGAGATCAGAGACAGTGTCTCTCGGGGCTCTGTACACGGGGGTTCCTGACCCCTGCCAGGGTCCCAGGCCTTCCAGGGCAGCCAGAAGGAAGCCCTGGATTCCCACACTGATTTAGCTTTTTTCTGAGAAATAAAAGTCAAGTGACCAAGAGATGGCAGTGAGAGGCAGGAAGCATCCAAGAGCAGCCCTGTTAGGGACGAGAGAGGCCAGCAGAGACTGCGGGATCCTGACTGCTCAGGAGTGCAGCCTGGGATCAGAGCTGAGTGCGTAAGGAAAAACAGCTGTTTGCATGCCTTATTTCAGCATCTCTTAGGTTAGATTAGAGAGGGTTTTTTGTTTTGTTTTTGTAAAGATTTTTTACTGTAAAGTGAGGAGTTGATGTACAGGAGCCATTTCAAGGTGTCCTCCAGATACAGATGTGCTCTGAAGGTAGTTTCTACAGTGTCATATATTTCTATATACAGTCAAATTATACTGTTACATAAAGTGGTGGTTGTCCCTGGTTTCACTATGGAAATGGCTTGTGATAGTCCTATATATCTCATGCTGTTTTGCATATTTAGAAATCAAAAGGAGCCATTTTTGTTACATGCTTCTGTAACAGGAGAGTGCACTTAGTAGTTTGCACTTTTTATTAAATCATTAAATTTGTATTGTAGGCCTTTTTTCTCATAAGACAATTCACAGACAAAACAATGAATGCCATTCATAGTATTATAGCTAATTTTCATGTCAATGAAATCTCTTTGGAATTATTGAATTTATTTTGTTCATCAAGATACTGGTGTTTTTCTTTCTGCTCATTGAACTTTGGTAAAAGCATGCTTCCTCACTACAGCAGTGTAAAGTGTTTTACTTCATATTTGGGATCAACTTTAGCTGCTGTTTTGGGGAGGTCTAGTTGAGTTGACTTTTAAGAAGTGAATTTGTACATCATGCTATGACTTGAAATACTAAAGTTGCTAGAATTAGCATTGAAAAGTAGGATAATCACTTTATTTTAGCTGTAAAAATGAAAATGGGGCATTAAAGCAATTAAGAGGGGAGAAGATACTTTCTATTAACATGTTTCATTATCAAATATCCCTTGGCAACACCTGCATTGAGTTTCAGTTTTTGAGATCTTTGTATATTACCTGAAATTAAAGCCGAAACTATTGGATTGGATGTCTGTTAAAATCATTGCTTCTGTATTTCTTTCTTGACATGTTTCTGAGTTTTACCTGAAAGAATGTAGAAATACATTCATTAATGCAAACAGAAAAGGCTTTTTAACAAAGTGATAGTGATCTCTCCCTCGTCAAGATAGCATCTCACTCCAGAGTTTACTCTTTCAATCAGACATTGAAATCATTGTTGAGTCCAAATTCTTCTAATTCCATTAAAGTCAGCCTTCTGTATGATTATGGAGAGAAACTTTTAAGATGTTGTGGCAGGGTGCCTGCCTTTGTAAAAGAAAGTCAGTTTGGTGCTACTGGATGCATCAGAAGTCTTGTGTAATAGAAAAAGCAGTTGAGAATTAATTTGATTCTACTTTGCCAAAAGTATCTTCTGACTTTATCGAGCTGAAGCAGATAATTGTTTGTACACAAGAAGTGACTGAAAGGTAGTTTTATGGTTTGGAAATTTTGGAGTAAAGCAAAGAGGCAGTACTGTTTGGCTTTTTCTTATTTGCAGATCTGTATTTGGGATTGAGTTATTATTTAACAGCTGTTATCTTAATAAATGCAGGTTTTCCATCAGCACCTAGATAGATCCTATTTTAATCCAGACTAATACCTTTACTTTCATTCAGAAAATCTACCTCTTTATAGGAAAAATGTGAAGCTCCTCATTTGCACTTTTTAAATTCAAGCCATAGGTATTACGTTGTTCAGTTCCATGTTTCAATGTCTGACTTCTGTTAACTCCCAAACACTGGAGAATCATAGGAGCAGGTGTTTTGTACATAATCATACCTAACAATACCAGAACCCATTTTCTCTGTTATCTTTTTGTATCTTTCGTATTACATGAAGGTTTATTACAAAATCTAGGAATAAATGACTGATCTATATTTTAGTATATAGGAAGGATATCTCATATTTATCATACTAGCTAGGTTAATACTTCTTGCTGCTGTAGTCCCCTACAAAGCTCTTAAATCTTTAAATTTCTCTTTCAGCATTTGGAGAAATAGAAGGATTGAAAGCAATTTAGAGAAAGCACTTTCTATATAGCAGCTAGTATGCTTATGAGGTGGGGCATTTAAAACACTGTAACTCTTGCTTCTGTAGATAGTAGTAACGTTGTCTTATAATTAAATCCTATCTAATGTTAAATGATGGTGGATTTTTATTTTGCCATTAGAAAAAGTAATTATAATGAGATAAATTTGTAATACCAAATTTTGAAGTTTGGGTATGTTGCTGTCTAATAAGAGCTGGTTTAATAAGATTTGAAATCAAAGTGCAATGATCTCCCTTTTAGGAAACCAGAGTCTCTTATTCCTGCAACTTCATATATGTTGACTCTGGAAAATATTTTTAAAATCACAGCTCTGACTGAATAAGTTATTATTCCTGGTTGGCTGAGATATTTTGTTCTTGAAATTATAAAGACAGGCCTGTGTGTACATACATTAACTTCATTTAAATACATGCAGTAAATGGGGAGAGTGTCTCTTTACTATGAGATTTTAATTTATTTTACACACTGCATGTCAAGATGATTGGAATATATGATGTCAGAAATTTGGAGCAGCAATATCTGAATTTATTTAATCAGGTTAAAGTGCATAAAAACTTTCAACTGTTAACCTTTTGGTGAAGTGTCTGTAAGAATTCTGTTTTAGATGCAGGTCTTCCACTTCATGAGCTTACAGCACTAAGAATGATTATTTCTTCCAGATACACAGAAGAGATTATTCCCCGCCATCCATGCCTGAAACTTATTAGCAACTGTGAGCAGCTGCTTTCCAGCCACACATCAAGGCGCCTCATAACCATGGAAAAGGTGAAAGAATTCAAGGTAAGCTTGAATTCTTGATCATATTGTGTAAAATAGTAGCTGTTGCGTTCGTGACAAGTTCGTGCTATTCAGCATTTGATCCTTGTTTCTGTCACACTTTGGTTTTTATGATCAGAGTTAGTGCTTTTGTAAAATTGAACAGTGATTTAAGGTACTGTTCTGGTTTTAGTTTCTTCCTTTTTATTCTCAGTTTTTGGTAAACTCTTCATCCTGAAAAACTCCCTTGATAGTGTGAAAAAGATCTTTGAACTTATGGTTACTTGTAAATCCTATCTACAGAGGCTTTGCCTTAATGCCCAAGTTTCCACTGATTTCAAAGTGTGTCTCAATGCCCAAGTAAATACTAAATATCTTTGTAGGTCTTGCAGTAGGTAAACCTTATTTAATTGTGTTACTTCATCTTTAAAGTGGTACATTTTAGCTTTTGGAATGATACCAAAGTTGTGACAAGTACAGCAAAGCACACTGGCTCCTTTTTCTGTTTTTGTTTTGTAACACACTAAGTGCCTCTCCTGAGGCATTGAGACCAGGGAATATTGCATTCAGGTCTTCTTTCCATTCTTGCTACTTCTCTCACTTAATACTGTTAAAAGAAATGCTAAACACATGTGAGGTAGATGCTTAATGAAAATGCACTTGGTTAAGCAAGTGCTTTTAGTATATTCCTTGTCAGCTGGAAGAGCTGTTTCAGATAGCAGGAGATGCAGTCAGGCTGCTGTGTCTGTGTGGTGCTTGAACTACTGACACAGCAGGGCTTCAGTGCTGCCTTTATAATGCCTGTGGTGACTGCAGTTCTCAAGCAACACCTGATCTTCTATAAACACTCTGTGTGGAGTTCAGCCTCAGAGCTGCCAACTTCACCAGTAACAAACCAGGAGGGTAGATGATGAAAGTTTTTGCCATGTGCATCTTAGGGTGTTCAGGGAGGTTTTGGCAGCAGTTTTATTGCTATCAGTGCTGTCACGTAACGTATTCTAACCCAAAAAAATTATCAACCCTCTGCAAACAGCCTTGCATCATTTGTTACTCTCCTCTTGTGCATCACCTGTTCTTCAGTTCGTGGATTGGCAGGTTCATGTCTGGAAGTTCTTAGCTCTGAGCACCTGAGACTAATTGGCAGGCTTGCTGCTTAGATAAGACTGTGCAAGTGCTTACATTCAGTATTCCAGATGTCTTTTAGATAATTTAAAGATACCAGAACCCATGTGTGGTTTCTGATGATGCAAAACTTGTCTAGAGAACAAAATGCATCTTGAATCCTTAGCCACTACCTGCTTTGTTTAGGACTTTGTTTTGGTGTCTAAGATTTCCCCACCCCAATGTCCCTTACCTGGAACATGTTTTTTCTTCTATTAATATCCTGAACAACCTTTGAATTGGTTACTTCTGATTCACCAGATATGACCATAAAATTCAGTAGTTATACTTTTGTCTGCTTTGCTTTTTCCTAAGTGAAAGAATGAATTTTTATGGATATGCCTATCATTTACGTTTCCAGACTGTTCCTGTCTGCATTATTAAACTGGTTTGTAACAGCCTTCGATTGCCTTTTAATTCAGCTTAGTGCAGCACTTGCAAATGCATGAGAAATGTTACAAATCATGTTACTATTATTATGCAGTTCTTCAGTTTCCCCAGTGTTTGCCACCAATAAAAAATTGCAGATTTCAAAGCAAATTTTGATTTCATTATTAACACTTTAAATAAACTCTTAACTGTCTTAATTCAGTCAGTTGCTGAAATTGATGGTGCAATTTGATTGGAATTGTTTGTAATAAAACTGAGACCAAAGTGAAGGCAAAAAGTGAGTTTGTCTAGGTGAAGTATTGATCTGTCATTAGAAATCATAAGCATGGAGATCATATGTTGTATTAAAAATCTCACGAACCTGGTATATGTATAACTCACTGTCTTGTAAGCATCCAATCTGTTCTTTTGAAGTTTAAAGTGAAACTGTGCCAGCTGAAAAAGGTTTCTTCCTGAAATCAGTGTTGATATGAATATGCTCTTCCAGTATGTGCACAATATGAGCAGAAGAGTTTTGGGTTTTTTCATTACTGTTTCAGACAACTTTTGCCACTGTTCCTCCCAGCACAGCATTCACCCCAAAATGCACACTCCCCTCCTGCCTCCCCCACAGCACATCTGCACACTGTCCCCACAAAACCCAGGGTGGATGGGGCAGGGGCAACTGCAGCCTCAGCCCAGAGCCCTGTTTCTTCCTCCCTGTGAGGCATCCCACTTTTTTAGTGCCAAGAGAGATGCCTAGAAATTATGTAGTAAGATGTAACAGGAAACTTGACTGAAGGACAAACTCTGAGCATATGATTGTCTACGAAGGGACTGTGAAGGACCAGGCACACAAACCCACCCTGCTGAATGGGTCAAGCATTTCCAAGTCATGTGGTCACTCTGGAGTTGTTACTGGTGTAGAATTTTTCCTACTGAATTTAGTAGTGTCTGTTCCTGGGTGTATGACCCTGCTGTCTCTGGTTTGGTAACTGCTCCTTTTTGTTTATAACTCTATTAACATTAATACAAGTGGTTTCTATAGCTACTGTCCAGCACCAGATGTAGAGTGGTAGGAAGCAGTGATAAGGCTAGGAGGACTTTTTTTAAAACAAAAACTAAATGTGGCTAATTGCCTTGAAGCTGAACTGGGGCATGCTAGATGAATAAAAATTTTTAGAATGTCACTTAATATTTGCCAAGATCTAAACAACATTTTCTTGTTGTTTAACGAATAAATTGTTAAGGTTTTCTTTACAAGTTATTTTCTCTGTAGACTTTAAATGAAGCCTGTCCCTGGTGTTCAGATTGTACCCATTCAGCTCCTTGATACAAAATACTCTAAGTTAGCATTTGCTTGGAAATCCTAAGTCACTGAAATCCAAGAATTTCAGTTACTTTGATAAGTCCTCACACTGACTTTAAATCTTTAATTTGACTAATAAATCTCAACAGTGAGTTGTATCTCCAGGTAGTTCAGGATTTTTTATTTTCTTTTCCTTGTTTTAAGAAACAATTCCCATTCTTGTTGGTGTTTGGCGGGTTTTGGTTTTTTGTTGGTTTTTTTTTTTTGTTTTTGTTTTTTTAAAGCAATTGCCATCTTTATTAGATAGTCGTGACTGTACAGGTGAGAGGTAGGCAATGGAACCTTTTAGACTGGAATTATTGTTATGTAGGCCAGAAACTCTCTTTGTAATCTCTCCTGTGAAATCTATACCTGACTGCAGACCTCTCATTTAGCAAGCAGTATTCGCAGAGCTCCTAGATTTTTGAGATGAGATTCTGCTGTGGAGTGGTGGGTGCATTACACCTGTATTCTACATGAAGTTTGTTCTTCTACACAGCACATCCTCTCTTTGCCCTAACCAGCTTGGAGGTATAGGAGAGGGTAGTTTACTCCTTCATCTCTTCTCACCAAATCAGCATTTTGTTTCCCAAGGAATCAAGATGAATGTTGTACACATGCGTGACCTCTTAGAGGTTGTGGGGATTAATTTTTATCTTAGAGTATCTTTGATCTGTGTATCATTAGACTTCAGGGTCAAATATCCCATCCATTTCTCAAAATAAGTGAATCAGCATTCTTGTAAAAACATCCCAATTATACAAAAGTATATGTTTATGTCCAAGAAGGATTTCTGACCTGGAATTTCAAGAGAAGAAAAAGCGCTCTTTTCCAAAGAGTGGCTGGAGAAACGGGTACAGGCTGGCTGTGAGAGGAGTATGTCTTAAATCCTTATTATTTCTTGTGTGTCCATAGCAATTTTGTAATTTTCAGTTCTTTCACAAACATGTTAAAAGCTTGTTGTTTATTAGCCTGAGAATAGTCATGGAGATGGCAGTCTCTCACAGATGACCAAAATAGTAGATAATACTGCCTGCATTGGGTTTCCTGAAGTAATTTTCTCCTGCTATTTTCCAACAGTGCAGTATTTAAATAGAGCTGCTGCTACTGGTGTACATGCTTTAAATAATAGATATCTACATGGCACTGAACATTTAGCAAGTTAATTTAAGCTGGTGTCACATTCCTGATGTCTGCTTTCATAGCAGGTGAGACCTTCTCCGAAGTAATATCTCATGGTGTCCAGAAGAGGGCCCTTCTACATGCGCACAAGCGTCTTGCTTTGTTGAAAAACCTTTTCTTTCACTCCTTTAGAATGCTCATTAAGATATCCGGAGCCAGGAGAGATGTTGATCTTGGTAGTTGAAAACCTGGAAAAGGCTGCAGAAGCTGAAGGGAGAGATTTTCCACTAGGATTGTGTTAATCCTTGCATTGTAATACTCTTGTAATGTGAAAATATTGACCAAAATCAACTTCCATGTTTCTACTGATGCTAAAACACTCCATAGTAACTTTATTTTCAAATATGAACAAATACCTAAATGTTTTAAGGTAGTGAACCAATGTCTATGTTACTGCATTGGTTAAAAAAAACTGAGAGGAAACACGTGGCAGAATAGAGGCTTGGCTCTGTTGTGTGCTTCTTTTTATTTTCTACTTGTGCCATTCAGTTGTTCTGTATGAGGCTGGTTGTCACTGTTTCTTCCTGCTTTTGAGCATAATGATAAACTGATATCACCCAGAAGCATAAAACTGTTTTTAGAAGTTGCCATCAGTTTTCTTTAACACTCAGATTAAAGTTTGATGTAATGTTTATCTTACAGCATTACTAATGTTAGCTGACAAGTATCTTAATTGTATAAAGCCACAGTACATGATGAACTAAACCTTTGTATATACAGTGGGCCAATTTTCTAAACTGTGTTTTTGGCTGGTGTCAAATAGGTATTATGTGTAGGGATTTACTGTGTCAACTTTAACTTTTAGAAATACATGAATGCTGCACAGATAAAAAAAAAATCTGTGAATGTGCTTCAGTAACTATAGGAACTCATTTTAGCCATTTGTGTTCGTCTTCTGTTTGTGCCTGCCTTCCACAGACCTCTGACTGACTGAATGCTCCTGAAAATATTTTTTCTGGAAAGTAACCTGTGTGGTGCATGGTACCTGTGCTCATTTGGTCATGTAAGGGTGGGATTCTTATGATGTCAGCTGAGATACCTTCAGCAGCTTAAGTGTGTGCTGTTGAACTGTAAAACAAAAACCTAACTACCTTACCCTTGCACGTAATGGTTTGAAAAAGTCTGGAGGCAGAGTGATGGCAATACGTGCTGAGCACGCTACCCTCAAATCTAATGTTTGTCTTTTGATGCCGTGCAGGATCAAGATGCGAACTCTTACTTGTTGGACGGTCAGTATATGCCATACAGGGGACACAATTCTTTCCGTGACAAGTATTTCAGTGGTGTGACAAAGAGGATTGCCAAGGAAGAAAAGGACAATCAGAAGTAAAATATTATATAAACAGCTTAAAAAAAGAGAAGATAATGAAGACCATATTTCTTCGTAAGGACGTCTGGATATGAACATTCATTTGGATGCTTCAGAAAAATAAATACTGCTTTTAATTTTAAAACAAGATGAAACCCACAACCCAGGTTGGGAGCAGTTCTTTTTAATTAGCTTTGTTTATAGCAGATTTTATTGTACAAGTTTTTTGAGTCTTATTTAATTTATATTTGTACTTTCAAGTACTAATGATGATTGACTAAAACCATTATTATTGTTCTTTCACCATTAACGTTTACAAGAAAGTAGTAGTATTATTTGGCTTCTTAAACTGTGAACATCTGGCTGTTTTAAAAACACGTGGTGATGATCAGGCATTGCTGATTAAGAAGATCATTTTCATTTGTTTTGTTTTTTCTGTAAATGGTGTACAATAAACCAAGGTTGGCGTGAGTTTTTTTTTAATTCTTGCATGCAATAATTGCTCATATGAATTCTACTTGTTCTGGCTGAGGTCACAAGTGTTTAAAACAAACAACAAATGCAAAGAAACAACTGGGCTCATGCACACCCACAAAAAGAAAAGCCTCTGTGACCTGACAAACTCTGGAGAGCCTATTAAACCCTGTGAAACCTGTCCACATCTGAAGCTCATCTGTACCTTGGATTTGCTTTTGCATTCCTAAACCTTGACTCTTGGTAACGCCAACTGTCTTCAATTTTTGGTTCAGAAATCGATAGTTAAACCAGTAACAACAACAGCATAAAATCAGTAATGGTTCCCTAATGGTATTAAGCCTAATCAAATCTTTGAAACCAAAGCTGTATTTGTTAAAGGGCAGACTTTGCTGAATCCACACCACGTCCATCATGGAAATACCTCATTTGAAAACCACTAAGCCCATTAATTCAGGATGTTAATGGCTCTGCTCATTTTGGTGGTCAAATATGGTCATATATTCTTCTTGGTCTGTGTTCGCCAAGCAGGACCTTTGTGAATGCATCTGTGCTCCAGCCAGAGGAATCTTGCTTCTCAGTTTGCTGCAGGTTGCTGACTGTGGTCATGTTAATGTCTTTGTAGATCATAATTTTTAAGTGGCTCTCCAAGGAAGGCACAGGACATTGTGTGTATCTGGCTGAGTTCTTTAACTGAATTTATTTTTCTGTGTGTTGTGGTCCTCAGCTGCAGCAGGAAATCTTACAAACTCAGTGACAACTTAGTCTGGCCTTCTGGCTCTAATCTGTGGTGTGTTAAAAAGTTCTCAAATAGTGATTTATTTTCTGTGTTTCCATTATAAATCACTTTGTTTTGACACTTTTAATGTCAGCCATATAATAGTCATTCTGGACTCAACTTGGAGTGAGATCAAAGCTCAGAAAATTTTTCAAAAGCAGAATTTGAATTGATCATTTGAAAATATTACATCAAAAACGGACTGCTTCTGAAAATGTGTCTGCATTTCAGCACTGCAATTTAGCATTTATCTTTTATTACTTAACAAATTAAAAATAATTTTAGTTCTTCATAGGCAAGGAATTTTTCTAGATGTGTTTATTATGTACTTATAACTCCATTTTCTTGTAAGTTACCTTACACATGATCTAAGTGGTTGTACAAGAGGTAGAGTAGTGGCAAATCTGGCTCTGCCTGCTCAATGAGAATGATTTAGTTTATTTCTTCTTTGCCTGGTCCAACTTCTAGTTCCTTCAGCAGTGGAGTGGCCTTTGTTTAACAGTCCATACATCCCAGCTCTGTCATTACTGAATGATACCATTTTGAACAGAAACTATTGGTGTATTTGGGGTACTGCATCAACATTAGCTAACCAGAAATCATTTAGAATTGAAATCAGATGTTCAGTCTCTGCTGATCCCCAACTTTGAAGCTATCATTTGGAAATGTTCCTCGTCTTTAAATTTCTCCTTGCTTAGTGTGCACGCTCCAGCCTGTTGTGCTTGCAGACTTCCAGAGCACAGGCATTTATAGATCTAGTGCTGTGACACAGTCCTGGCTCTCTCCCTAGCGTAGGGCTGCCGGCTGGCTGGCTCATCCTTTCGGCAGGATTTGGCCATCGGTGGCCGCGGCTTCTGGCACTTCCTTTCACTCTGGTTCCATTCAGTCTCTTTCCATGAGGTTCCAGTTTCCTGTCCCTGGCGGGGAGTGTCAGTTCATGAGCCCACACTGAACTCATGCCGTTGTCATTCTCTCTTTTGGGGTGGTTTGTGCCATTTTCCAGTTTTTAAAAAGAAATGTTATTTTTGGAGTGCTTTGTTGTGTGCTGTGGCAAATTGGATGGAGGGAGGAGCTGAAAACGGCTGTGAGGTCCTATGGGCAGAAGCTGTCTCTTGCTGTAGAGGGCAATTTGTTGAAGCAGCAAAGGGAAAGAGCTCCCTCTTTTTACAAGATCCCTTTACCTGGTGGTGGTGTTCTGACTGCAAGCCTACCACATATGTGTGGGGAGAGGAAGGGGAAGAGTAGTGGAAAATGTATTTACTGTGTATTTACTGTGTATTTACTGTGTATTTACTGTGTATTTACTGTGTACCCTACCTTCCATCTCTCTCTAATACGTTTTATAATTGGTGGCAAATTTGACCGAGTTTAACAAAAGGTCAGGGTTTGATGATGTCTTATAGATAATGGAGCTTCACTTTTGTTGAAATAGGCAGAGGGAGTGAAGAAGAAGACAATCTCTTCTAAGGAAAAGGCTGTAATATGAGTTCAACTCTCATTAAACAGCAGAGAACCCACTTGGAAACAAGACCTGGACAAAAGCTCTAACCAATTTTTTTTGTTTCTGCTACTACAACCAGTGCTGGCATTGCTGCTTCTTGATCTTCTCGTTAAAACAAAGAGACACAGGTAAAAGCATACAAAACAGCTTTTTTAGTAGGAACATGAGGGTCTTGTCTGAACTTCCAACTTCTGCTCAAGCTATGAGGCAAACTTGCAGAAACTCAGACTTAGTAGTTTCTCGTTATCACTGGGTCAAGCAGATGTATCAGCTTGGTGAACTTCTCAAGGATAGTGCAGCTCTCCCTGTAAACCATCCTAAGAAACTGGTGTCTGGTAATGGGATGGCATCTGGATCCCCTACAGCATAGAGGCAATGTCCCCTCAATGGATATGGGCTTTCCAATAGCAACTCTTGATGGTTGGTTTTGGTGGACCCTTTATTCCTCTCTGCCTATTCTAGGGGCTTGGAAGGCTGTGGTGGAAGTCCTTAACAGTTCAGTGTCTCTTTCTATTAGACAAGCACTCTGTTCTGACTTAACAAGGGCATGGGTGTTCATATGCACCACAGTGCCCAGAAGGCAGTCAGATATTTGTGAGTTGTCAGTCAAGGCTCACCAAAATTACTGAAAAACGGTGCTAGGAAGACATACCATGGGCTTTCAGGCTGTTTTGATATTGGTTAAATATAGAAATGTTATAAGGAGGAAATGGCCTTAATAATTCTGAATCTTTGCCTTCCTTCTATCTTTGCTTTTTAAGAATTCTTCTTAATGCTTTTTTTCCAATGTCTCCAGGACTATTCCACAACCATCAGCTGAAGAAGGGTATCCCAGAGTAGTGACCCTGAGGCTTTGCATTGTCCTCTGGCCACAAGTTTTCCAGAGACAAAAACGCCCACTTAGAGCAGGGAAGTGGGATGGGGATGTTACACAGTGGTTGCAGGTTTTCCTGTTGGCCAAGAAGAGCTCTGGGGTAAGTTGACAGGAGGTTCAGCTGCTGGCTCAGCTCCCATCACCACCATGTTTCTCTTTTCTGACTTTCCACCTCTTCATAGAAGCTGGGAAGAAAAATTTAATGTGCTCTGTCTTTGCTGTTTAGTTTGGTTTGCAGTTTAAACTGAGGCCCAAGTTGAACAAGGCTGTCTTTTCAGTCTGGAAACTTTTTCCTAAAAAAATAGTATTGTGGGTACCCAGGAGAATGAAGAGACCCGTATCCCTCTCCACCTTTCTTTTTTGTTTGATATTTGAAAAAAAAGAAACTACTTCTTTAACCTTATTCTCTCCTGTAATTGATTTTGGTGATCAATTTAAAATTTAAAAAGCAAAATATATCTTACCTGCCCCTGTGCTACTACCCTTTAAATATATTTCTCTGAGGTTCTCTTACTGGCTCAGTGAGCTGTAAAAATCTGTGTATTCTCACAGCTGTTTTCATTACAGTTCTCTGTCCTGGATGCTGTTTCTTTGTACACTGTATTTTGTATTTTGTACTGCCTCTCACCAGTTCCAGCTTTCCCAAGCCTGTGAGTGGGGAGGACACCACTCCAACGAAGTGAAAGCTTTCTGTTAGCTAAAACACCTCATCAGAAACAAGGTCCGGGAGAATGGACATTCTGCCTGGCTGCACTGAGGGCACTGGTCTTCGAGACAGGTTTGCCAAGTAAGATCTTTTTGAACTCTTGTGGGTTGCATAAAGTGAGGTGGGCAGCTGAAAGGTAAAGTCCATTGTCAGGAGGAAAATCGTGGTGTCTTTGCTGCAGCTCTTGGGATATTGGCTGACTGTGCACCCAGGAGGTGCTTCAGAGGCTGCTGAAAACCCTCAGCAAACCAAGGTGCAGGGGATTCCACTGAGTGTGTCAGGTTTGACAAGGAGCACTTTGAATAGTAGAGTAGGATCAGGATATTTTGCTTCATTTAAAACTCCCCATAAGTTAATTTTTTCTAAATTCAGTTTTTAGGTGCTGGAAAACGATGATTTTGTACAACGACATATTAATGATCATCTAAGATTCTAATCCAAATTTTTGTTGCCTTACATAAAAGAGGTGAAATTGAAAAACTCTAAACATGTTCAAAACAGCATAATATCAGTGTGGTAATTCTTTCCAAAAGGAAAAGTTTATTTGAAGTTATTTGATGTTATTTTTTTCCAATGAAAATGCCACTTGATGTATAAGTTCTGTTTTAAAATTTGTTCTTCATGGATTAGTTCTCACAAATATTTCATTAATACAGCGTAAAATAACAGGTTATATTATTATATGTAATAGGATAAGTAGTTAACTATTATCAAATACATAACTCCTAAAAGCCTCATCTCTATAAGGTGATACCATTGGCAAAGTAGTCATAGTTGATTGCAATATTTCCTTCTCTGGAGTCTGTCCCAGAAGATGGGATGTCTCTGACTGATGTCTAGGGATGGATGTTCAGTGCCATGACTGGACAGCCCAGAGTGTCTTTGCTTTATTCTGAGACCAGAATGAAAGGTTTCCACTAAACACTGAGAATTATGCTGTGTATTTTGGAGGCAAAACTAATCCTTGTTCTATCTTTTCTTCTACTGATGTAGGCCTAGGGGAAATGCAATTGGGTAACTGCAGTACAGAATCAATTTAGTTATGAAAGTTCTTAACTAATAGCCAAGGTTCCTTAAATACTATGATTTTTGGCTAGACATGAAACACAGCTGTGTGGAGAAAATCCTTTGAGTAGTTGGATCTATTA